GCTGTGGAGGGCAGTGTCACTGGCCCTCATATGTGGGATCCGAACCGGGGTCCTCTGGCATCCCAAGCGAGTTCTTAACCATCGCGCCACTCGGCGGGCCCTCAATTTCTTTTTGATTCAAGCTAGTTTTTGTTTTTTAAATGAAACAAAATGCTTTCAGTTATCCTGATCAGGATTACTTTAGGCATTTCTATGTTAAATTATCCGGATTTAAAGACAATTACTGCTATTAACTTTTGTCTCATATATTTATTCTATTCTGCCTATTATCTATTTTTGCTCATTAACATGACATTGTTGATTTTTATTTCTGTGCTGTGTAGGTATTTGTACCATGTTTCTTATATTATTACTGGAACCAATGGGAAAAAAATTGTTGGCAGATTTAATGCATACCCTGTTCCTTGTTGGCCAATAAATTTTTGGTGGATTTTAAATAAATAAATAAAATAAATAAATAAAATGCACTATAGCAAAAAAAAAAAAAAGACTTTCTTGTAGTCATAAGTGAGACACTTTCATCTTTAAAGGCTAAACTTACTTTAAGATAAAGCAAAAAAGTCATGACCACTTCTTGATTACTTACTCGCCAACTAAGCAAGTTACCTCTTTGGTTCTCTGCAAAGGACACAGACAAGAACCAGCTTTTACTAAGACGCCATGTTTTAAAATCTTTCCTGACTCTTTTTATCTCTTTTCACATAAAATATTCTAGTTTTAAAGACCAATGGGAGTGTTTGCATGCTTGTGAGGATGCCATTTATTATTCTCCAATCTTTCCCACATTAAGGTCTACAAACAATCTTTTTGTTTGCTTGCTTATGTTTATCCCTCTGAGGCAGTATGTTTTCCTTGGCATAATCCAAATGGTTCAAGTATTTCTGCTTCACTTTGGAATGAGGATGAATGCCAAATTTACTCTTACTTGTTTTGCCATGAAAATAAAATATATACTGAAAGTAGCTAAAGAATTAACTAGACCACTTGTTAGCCCTGACTCACAGGTAGTTTTTACATTTACCAACAGAGAAGTGACTTGAATACAAAACTATTTCTAACTGCCCTGTGTTACATGGGAAACAATAAAACCCAACTATTCTATAAAATACATATGGCAACAGCTATCAAAGAGAAGAGAAAACACACAAAAAAAGACTGGTTTTATTAAGAGAAAAACTGAGTCTAAATAACTAAAATAATCTACTTCTACTGTATTGAAAATTTGAAGTTTTCAGAATCAATAATTATAAATCTCATATTTTCTTCATCTAAAATGTCATTTGTTTATAAACTATTCAGATGAAAACACATTAAGATGCAGAAGTATGAGCAGAAGTTTTTATAGCTTTGCTTTTTATAACATTTTTATAACTTTGATTAAAATCCTTTTCTGATTTCAAAATTTTGCTCACCTCAAATACCATTCCACTTGGAAGTCTTCCCTGATAGTCTTAGAAATTCTCTTTTCTTCTGCATACTTATAATAGAGCTTTATATGTACTAACTTGTAAGAAATCGCTTATTGCTATCCTTGCATTTTGGTTACTTACACAGGTCTTACTTCCCTCTACAGTGTCATCCAGGACTGGTAAATAGGAGTCATCCCACATACCAATGCCAGTTGATTCACGGAGCCTGCCCCAAGCACTGGGCCAGGAAAGACCCTGGGGCCACACAGTTGGCTTAGTAGAAAAGAGCAACTTGATTAATATTACTGTCTTCCTGTGGAGGGGTGTGGGTTGGGGGGTGGGGAGCATTTATGGCTGGCATTTGCTGGCCTTTGCACTGTTAGGATCTATATGGATATTCTGATTGAATGCCCTATAGTTAAATGGCTGATTCCTCTATAAAATGAGTGAAGGGTAGGAAATGTAATAGCCTGTGTCATCCTTCTACAGTTATGATCATTACACAGGACTGTTATAGCCCCTGAGTGGAGGATCACAAGCCCTGTCCTCATTGCTCTGGGTTTCCCTACTCCTCTGCCATTGACTTTTCTCACTGCCCTCTTCGCTTTATCAAGACATCTCCCACAGAGGTGAGAATATGCAGCTTATGGGCATTGGGGGGTGGCGGGGGGGTGGAGGGAAATGATGGAGGTCTACCACTGTGGTAGCAACTCTGGAGAGACAACATGGCAGAAGGCAGCCTTGGAAGTGAGCAATGGTACACATCCTTCTCCCTCATCCTGCCCCATCACCATAGCTCATATGCTCTCCTCTTTACACAAGGACTTGACAGCTCAAGCTTTTCCATGTACTCAGGTTAAAGATATCTTCCAGGATGATGGGGGAAATGAAGCAGTAAAGGACACAGAAGAGAGAGGACCTTTAGGTGTTAACATCCTATCCATATCTAGCTATTCCAATTATCAATACTGACAAGTCATTTTTAACTTTGGTTGCTCAATGGTTGTCTCTAAGGGCAACTTCAGTCATTGGCATACCACTTAGGCTGTTTCATTATTACCCTTCCTTTAAAATGCCTCACTTTGAAAAAATTTAAATGAATTTACTTACAAGGAAAACTTTACATCACTTCTATAAGTGCAAAACCAGTATCACTTGATGTAAACAGAAGTACGAAAGATGCTATATGAATCTATGCTAGGGCTATTCCTCATCCCAAATCTGTTGTTGTCCTAGAGTCCTACTATCTAATTTTGTTTGAAAGGCCTTATGATGCAGAAAATTGAAAAAGTGACCTTGTTTTAATTATTAAATAGCCTCAAATCATTAAGTTTCAGAAAATTCTCCCTCTCCAAGTTCAAGTAATTGCTTTTTCAAATTTAATTCTTAAGCCATCTCCATTTACACCAGTTTCAAATTAAGAAACTCACTGCCACCATATTTTGTTCAATTTTCTGACTCACCAAAGTGTGTCAGTCCAAATTAAAACCTGCATCTTTAAGGAGAGGCAAAATCTGCTCTCTGAGGTTACCTCCTTTAAGTCCTGTTTGTATATGTGAGCGCCACGTTACTTGCTCCCAGACTGATTTCTCAATACAAAGTTTAAAGTTAACAATAATTGATGTGTTTCTAGTACCTTGACAGAATGATTGTGGAAATCTGTAATAATAATCTCATTATTGCTATTTACAGCTGCAAAATGGGGACCTGCAACAAAGATGAAAAAAACATATGTGATGACCATAAACAATAAAAATGATTAATAACAACATAGCAGTTACAAAACTTAATATATGACTTAGTTATTTAAGAAAGAACAAAGAAGTTTAGCCTCAGTCCTTGACAGATCCTTCAGCCAGACCTTTGGCTGCAGATAATGGGGATCCTCTATCATTCTACACTGGTGACTGCCTCGTCTAACTCCTTCCAGGTCAAGCTAAGCATTTCAGCAGCCCTAATGAAGTGGGATGAGCTAATAAGCATCAAAATTCATTCTCCGCTCCACCATCTGAACATCACATCTGCCAGCTTCCCTGAGCACATATTAGTCATTTTAGGGTCCTCAGGTCCCACTAAGGAAACATGGTAACTCTTAGCAGTGAGAAAAAAAAAAAAAAAGACTGAAATGTGCAACTTTTTTTTTAAAAAAGTAGAGCAGAAAAACAACACTTTGTAATTTGGGGTGACATTCAGAACCTGGCAGAACTGGAGACAAAAAAGCACAAAGAAAGATTATGCAAATGAAGATTAAATGCCAAAAGCATCCTTTAAAAAGGGAAATTTAATAAACCGTTCTCTGCTTCTTCTCCTAGATGTGAAAAACTAAGTAAGCATGTGGCTACCATGTGGCACCCCAAAAAAGAGAAACAAAAGAGACTGTCCTTCCCTTTCTCAGCAAATACTCTGAACTCCCACTGTCTTATAATCACCTAGAAAGGTGAACAAAAATGTCTCCTTCAGAGGCTCTTTAAATAACACTACAGCTAGATGGAAACAGGCGTTATAACACTGATCCTCAAATTCTCATTTAAACATATGTTATTACAAAATTAATGTTTCATTTACTACTAACATTCGAAGATTAGACTTCTGAGTTGTAAATTGCCACCGATAAAAACCTCACATGGAATGCCATCAACTTACTGCAGGTGGAGCCACAGAGAGGCGCCTACCCATGCTCTCGCTCAGATTTCATCCCCCGTATCTTTTCCCCAAGCCAGCAAACACACTGGGGGCGAGGCATCTTCCGCATGCTCCAACATCATGCAAATGTGAGCAGAAGAGGCATAAAAAAGGGGGTTTACATATTACCATCGAGTGTACCTGCAAACTGCCTGTCCCCATTGCCTCGGCTCCCAAACCTGGTGACTATTTTCCCGTTGGGCTGGAAGATAAACACGCAGCAAGCCTTGTTATCCACAACAATGATGTGCCCGTTGCGGTCCACAGACACTCCCTTGGGCCCCATCAGCTTTCCTGATCCGATTTTTGTCTGTTAGAAACAAGCACGGAAGTGAGGTTTACAACACTGCAGAACGCGAAGACAGACATGTGTTTTAGTAAACATGGACTTGAACGTTCAAACAGGGGAGCACAGACTCATATGCCACAATGATCTGCTACTGATATTTATATGAAATCCTTATTTTTTAAAGGGATCACCACCAAAAATGTTTGGAATCCCCTTAACTGGGCTCATAGCTCCCTTCTAAAGAGGCAGTGTGGCATATAGCAAAAGATCACTGGATTAGGAGTAGGGAGACTGTCCTCTGTCACCTGCGTTGGACACACCTGGTAGAGCACAAATAGTATAGCACATATTAAACCATCAAGTAAAGGAAGCTATGTTTGTCACTATTATGTATCATAATTCATGTTGAAATTGCCAGGCATCAGCCACTGAACTTCACTAGAATTAAGTTCTACACAGCCAGGAGAGATGTCTGCTTTTTTGTTTTGTTTTGCTTTGTTTTTAAATTTTATTGGGGCACAGCCATGGTCATTGGTTACACATTGCTTTCATGCTACTATGGCATAGCTGACTCTCTTAGGGAAGACGCAGCTCACAGTGGCCCATGCAGGGATCAAACCAGCAACCTTGGTGTTATCAGCACCATGCTCTAACCAACTGAGCTAACCGGTCACCCCAAGAGAGATGTCTGTTTTATCCAGCACCGTGTACTCAGAGCCTACCATGCTTCTTGGTGTCTAGTAGATACTCAACACATATTTCTTTAATATATTAATTTAAAAGCTCTAGCATTATTATAGGGTAAAATGATGATTAAATGGCTCCAGTTTTTACAGTATTCTACAATGGGAGGAAAGCATTAGATTTCTATCAAACATACACCATATGCATTTTAAATCTTATTCACTTTTCCGAGTAGAATACAGTGGGTACTTAAATGCTTGTATACCTTTACTTTTGTAGCTCTGTTTTCTAGAGTGCTTATAAAGAAGTGCTTTACTTATTTCCCCATTTATCTGCTAATTCCGCAAACACTGATTGAGCACCCACACTCAGTGGCACTTGATAGACAATGATGAGTAAGATACAGCCCCTTCCCTCGAAGATGTCTTGGTCGCATTGCAGAGACAAGCATGTCTACTGTGCCCTTAAATTAAAATGGGCTTAAATCTTACAGAACTCGACATCACCATAACGAGGTCACTCAATAAAGTGCCTGGTATCGAGCGTTCGATTTGGGAGATTTGGGAAAACTCAAATAGGCCATCTCAGAAGCCACGTGAAACAATAACTTGATGAGACAGGTCACTACAGACAAGAAAGGGAGCAGCCGAAAGAGAGCCTGGTGAGTGAAGGGGGACAGCAAGAACCACCGTTCTCCCTGGCACCAAGGCTTCCAATGTCAGAGCGAAGTAGATCTCTGTGTTTTTACAAAAGAGCTCTCCTACACATTATAAAGCAACATGCAGAACAGCGAGTATAGGCCGAGCCCCTTGATGTTAAATGTGATTATGTATGTACACGTACTCCTGGAGGAGAAAGGAAAAAACTAAATAGCATTTATAGCTTAGAAAGAGGTGGTAGGAGAAACTCTTACTTTTCGTTTTATACTTGTCCATAGGCTTATTTGAAAAATCCATTTGCCTCTATTACTTCTTAAATTAAAAACTTTTACTCAGAAAAAGATACATTCTCAAAGGTTCTGTTTTAGTTCTCTTATTTTCCCTCTATATATTAGTGCTGTCGGATAGAAATATAATGTGAGGTGCACATGTAACTTAAAATTTTCTAGTAACCACATCAAAAAAAAAAAAAAAAGAAAGAAAAGAAAAAAGAAAAAAAACCAGGGAAAATGAAACTGACTTATACATTTTATTTAACCCAATATATCCAAAAGTGATCATTTCAACATGCAATCAATATAAAAATTATTAATGAAATATTTTACATTCTTTTTTCGGGGGATTGTCTTTGAAATCCAGTGTGTATTTTACACTCACAGCACACCTCAATGCAGACCAGCCCCATTTCAGGACCTCAGTATCCTCGTGTGGCTAGCGGTTACTATATTGAACAGCATGACTCTGTACATTTCTAAGATCTCATCTATGCTATGGCATCAACTTTCACCTCTATGTGTAAGATTCTCAAATCCCTATCTTAGTCATTGCCTATATTAGAAGTTATCATCCTAAACTCAATGTCAAACCAAATTTATATTCCTCATTTCCACCATTTAAAAAAAGAAAACCGGGGGCCAGCCGAGTGGCGCGATGGTTAAGAACTGGCTTGGGATGCCAGAGGGCCCCGGTTCAGATCCCACATATGAGGGCCAGTGACACTGCCCTCTACAGCTAAGATGCTGAACAACAGCTCAACCTGGAGCTGGGCTGCCGTGAGTCACTGGAGACGGCATAGGCTGCAGCCCCTGTGGCAGTGGGTTGCCATGGGCTACCGTATGTAGCCAGCAGCCAGCGTGAGCGGCCGTCCAGAAGCCGGCGACTGATCTGCCTTGCCCAGGAAGAGCGCAACGATGGTGCCAACTTGGGCCAGTGAAGCAACGTCCTCCACAACTAGACTGAAGAACAAAACGATAGCAACTTGTCTGTTCCCCTTCCCCCAACTCTCCACCGCTGTTCCCATCTCCCCAATTCCCCAATAAAAAAAAAAATCTTTAAAAAAAAAAAAAAAAAGAAAACCAGCCGGCCGAGTGGCTCAGTTGGTTAAGAGCTCACTCAAGGGTTTGAGCTCTGAGCAACAGTGGTTCGATTCCCGGCCCGAGCTGAGCAGCCGCTGAGCTGCCAACAGGTGGCAGGATGGCTTAACTTAAAAAAAATAAAATAATAAAATAAATAAATAAAAAAGAAAACCCAAACTAGCACCTCCTGATTTCCTAATTCCTTTTATGACACCACAGCTCCGCCAGTTACCCAGTATCAAAATTTCAGAGCAAAATTCATTCTTTTTTTTCATCAGTTTGAACCTCAGTTTTCTCATCTGTAAAATGGTAGCTCTGCTATTTACCTCCTGGGACTTGCAGATTCCAAAGGATAAAGGAAAGTGTCAAGCACAGAGTATGACACTTTGTCCCTTACCCTATTCTGCTGGCATAATACCTTACCCACAGGATTATCTTCTTTCTCAACCGAACCATGAAGGTATATGCAAGAAAGAGCATGGAGAGGGGGTGGGGACTTTCCCATAGCGGGGGTTCAGATTCTGTATAATCTTTTATTCTTGCAAGTTTATAAGTAACTGAGATTCAGACTTGATCTCTTTAGAACAAAGAAACACGTTTACTTAAGAAGGAAACAGTGGCATTCTGGCAAGGGAATCTGGTCTATAAATTTCATTCTGATTCTGCAATCTCTCCCAAAGATCAAAGAGCTATGACATAATAGCTTGCAAAGAAATTATGTACTTTCTTTCATGTCTGAATTGAAGATATGTCAGTGGGGATCAAAAGGAAGAAAGAAGACTCTGATGATTAAAACAAGAATATTATTATTACCTAACATTATGAACAGTAGTTGTTACTAGAATGACTCAGACACACAATACCAAGTGGATAGTAATTATGTAGCATTAAAAACAGAAAGTAAAGGCTTACTGCCATTCTATCATGTAGTGAGAACTAGTGCAGTTCCAAAAGAAAAAAAACGTAAAATATTGAACCAAAACCTCTTTTCCTTCCACTTTCCTTCATCAGTTCTAGTTTAGCTGCATTAGAGTCAACCAAGTGAAATAAAAATTACTGCATTTGGCCTGACAGTGTGTCCGCCATCTTGAATAGAATAGTAAGCAAAGATATTTCAGACCCTGGCTCTGGAACTGTTAAGTGAAAGTATTTAGCTCAACAAATAGATCCTTAAATTGAAGAGGGAAGAGAGGAGCTATTTTAGAATATGATGTCCAGGGGCCTCAGTATCTGTTCTGGGGTCCTAGATGGACAGGAAGATATAACTCAGCAGGAAAAGATGGAGAGGAAAAAATTAGAAGCATGACTATTAGGGCTAAGAAGTTAGTGAGTAAAAGAAAGAAAAGGACCAAAGACGTTGCATCCCTAGAACTATTAGGCATAAATACAAAGAATACACATTTATGTTAAAGGTGTTTTTTTTCCGAGCGTCTGTTTAATTTTACTGAATCCCATCAAGAAGAAAATAAGTATCTCTCAGTATATGGTCATAGATATCACACTTGGATGAACTCCCATTACAGTACTAAAGTGTTTGCACTTACTATCCTTCTACCCTTTCTTTCCGTTTTGATCAACATCTATCTTAAACAAAAGAGGGGGACAGTGGGTATGTATGTTGAAACTATACCGTGTCCATTCCCCCAATCCTCTAGGGGGCGCGAGTGTTCTTTAGCATTTATTCCAATTATTACCAGTAGCATGCCAACCTTGAGAAGCCAGTTCTTCCAGGAAAACTGTCTATTACATATAGAATACTAAACCACTGAATGAAAAATGCTTAATTCAGGAAACCCTTCTCTCTTAGATATGAAACTTCTGTTTCAATATGTTTCAATATATTAGATATAAAATCTTTCAATATAATAGATATATCAATAGAACTCCTGTTTCAATACCTATTTTAGTTTTAGTTTCTGAATTTAGAAAGACAGGTCATGGTTTTGCTGGAGTATAAAACAAAAACAAAGGGCTATCTCCAAACTAGATAGATATTTTCAAGAGATTTCTGAATAGTTTTCATTCTATTGATGTTAAAGTTGCCATATTTGGGTATGGCTGACTACAAATACAATTATGAAAACACAAAAGAAGGGGAGGAAGTTGGAGAAACAGAAAAGGCACAAGACCTGTCTGTGTACATGGCCATCATACAGAGACAACACATTGCAAGTGGGACAAAAAAATCCATTGAAGAATTGTGTATAAAATGGTGGAATTAAAAATAATAGCTTTTTATTCCCCTAGATTGAAAAGATACTGCCCCACACAAAACAGAGGCTCCAATCTGAGGATTAATAATTATGTAACTTGTTTAATAAAAATTATATGACTGTAGTGATCTAACAACTTTCAAAAGGAAAAGATAAATTTCTCCATTAAGAGACTAATAAGCGAACTTTGTGCAATCTTTAGGATTACAGAATGGATTATGAAGAGCATCATCTCTGAACATTTAGACAAGGAAGGGATGACCACCAGGAGCCAGTATGAGATCATGAAGCCCAAATCATAGCTGATCAAATTGACCTCTTTTTTTGAACAGGGTTACTACAGGCATTGGAAAAGAACATTTCTTAGATGCCTAATTCATATAAGGCACATATAAAATCCAGAAATAAAATCTCATTTAATCCTTACCCAAAGCCTATGAGATAGATTTTTAAATCCAGATTTGAAATATGAGGCAATCAAGGCTCAAGGAAATTATATAATTTGCCAAAGGCCAAACAGTTAGTGAGCCACAGATCTTGGATTCCAAAAGGTTAATCTGTCTGCATTAAAGTTCATGCTGTCAACTGAAAGAGAAGCTTCTAAAAGGCTGGACAGGGGGAATAGTGAAGGCATAGTGCACATGGCCTTCAAAAAACCTTTGACAGAGTGTCTCATAATCTGTGAACAACTTTAGAAAATGGACTGGAGGATAATTTTCTTTGATGGCACCTTAGAAGAGTGATCTCTGAGCCCTCTTAGGTGACCTGCTGAAAAATACAGATGCTGCTGCAAGTGGTAACAAATATGTCAAATGATGGGATCCCTCAAAGTGTAGCTCAACTCACAATTTCTCCATGAAGCCAGCCCTCCTTTTCTTTTCCTTCCGATTCCTATGTTATATACTTTACACTATGGTTTTAGATTGTACCAAACAATTTATGACTGACTAAAGGCTGACATGAGTTGTTTTCTGTCATGTCTTGTGTATTCGTCTTTCTTCCTCAAGGAGCTTGAATATTTTTAAAAGGTAGGGGCCATGTCTTCCGAGTCTGCTTCTCCTATATCATCATCTATCACAGGTCTGAGAAAGTGGAAGGCACTTCATAAATGACAACCTGTAAGTTAATTTGGAAAATATAAATTGCTTCTTAATAATCCTTTTCTAAAGATGGTTGTTTTCCATTGAATTGAGATAAAGCTGATGGTATAAACAATGCTGACTGGGTAACCTAATTGCTTTATCAAATGAAGCCACATTTAGGATATATCTGAGTAGATTTACAATATCATTGTTACTCTCACTTCATAAAACTTAGATGTAACACGGTCAAAATGTCTTTGTGTATAAAGAACAGTGGAATGTTCTACTGGATCTCAAAAAAGAAAAAGACCAATTTCATCTTGTATTTCCTAGTCCTTCTCTCTACTGTTTAGTGGCCAGTGGGTAGTTAATCTTACCTTAAACTTCCCATCTGAAGAGAAGATGCTAACCCATTTATTATCATAATCTGCAATGATGATGTCCCCACTGGGGTGCACAGCTACCCCTGTGGGCCGCTGCAGCTGCCCAGGAGAGCGTCCTCGTATGCCAAAACGACTTTTGAACTGGCCATCATTGGAAAATATCTGTAAAACAAATAACATTCACTGGAATGAGAACTTATATAGAAATGAGTGAGGAAGGAACAAGCCAGTACCTTTGTCATACGTACTACAGATCAGAACTTGCAAATTCTATGTGAAGAAAAATCTATACACACATTCTAAGCTTCCCTTTCTTTCCTTGTACTATGTACCTCAAGTCTTAAGTAAGAAAATCTACAACTGTACCATCTAAGTGGTTAAAGGTATACAGTTAGGGGCCATACCTGCACACACTGGTTGTTACTGTCTGCGATTAATATCTTTCCACTTGTAGATGCAGCTACCCCTTGAAGATTCGTAAATTCTCCTTTATTTCTGCCTTTGGTACCTAAAAATAAATTAGAAAACCTCAGAAATTAAGCAATAGAGAATTAGATTTCTAAGCTTCTGCAAGAGAATTATTCAGGCTTCCATAGGTAACCTAAGAATGTACTGTTTTAAAATTATACTTTAAAAAAAAGAGAACCTCCCGCCCTCCAGACCTAATCCACATGCTGCTAAACTCTTCCAGACCAAGCAAGTCTTTGCAAAATCACTTTTTTAGGCAAATGCAACCTTTCTCTTATTAAGTTGTAGCTGCATGTTAACATGATTAAAATATATTTAGCTTCCACAAGGACACAATAATAAAAACTAACATTACAATTGAGAATTGAGGGTATGCAATAGGAGAGGACCTCATTTTAGAGTTTTGCTAAAATCCCACCACCCTCTCATTTAGCCTCACTTATAAAAACCTTGGACACTTGACTTTCAGTGCATTTCACAAATCATAAGACCACAGATGTTACAAAACTAGCAGGATGATTTTCATTTATTAGATTTACTTCTGTATTATTTTCATAGGCTCAGTACCTCACAGGCTGTATATGTTCTTCCTGAAAACATAAAACATATCCTGACAGGGTGCTTTCTGGATAAATAAATAAGAAAGGCAAAAGAAAATTAATTAATCCAAGTAACATTCTTCACTGCCTTTTTCTTCTTTTCATGGGAGAGATGCGGCAGGAAACAAAAAAGAGCAAAGGTACCTATGGGTTGACAGACATCTGTTTTTGTTTCAAAAGAAGTGTTTATAACTTATTTCAATGGGACCATGTACATAATAAAGGATGGAAACAGATCAACTTTGCTCAGAAATGACCAGGAAGGAGGTTTACATTTTCATAGAGGGAGAAAGCTATACTTCAGTTTTATAATTTCATTTGTATTCAGAAGAGCAACTTGATACTTTGCTTTTAGACATCAATGCAGTGCCTTAGGAAAGAGTAGAAAGATGCTGACATTGGCTGGACTTCATCTTAAACACAGCTTTATAGCACTGCTTAAGAATAGATTCTTGAAACCAGATTTTTTTTTACTATATTTATTTATTCATTCATTTAAATTTTTAAAAAATTTTATTAGTTTCAGGTGTACAAAACAATGTAATAGACATTTACACCCCTCACAAAAGACTTTGTAGGGTACACTTATTAGGGAGACCACCACTTCATGGACGGTGTAGATGCCTGACCACTGCAGTGTATACCTGAAGCTGAAACTAAATAATAATTAATGTCACCTATAATTTGTATATATAGTCACAGGATGTGGAGTACAGCATAGGAATTAGGAAATATAGAGTCAGTGGAATTGTAACAGCTATATTTGATGTCAGAGGGGTCGTAGGTTGGGAGAGGGGAGTTATCACTCGAAACCAGATTTTTAGGTTAGAAAGTAAAACTGGTGATGGAATTAAACTCAGACTAAAATCAGCAACAGAATTTCTGGGCAGAACCATCTTAGATCACCTGGTTCTCACCAGATCCACAGGATAGTTGTTTTATTGAAATCCTGGACTCTTATCTATCATGTTTACTTACTACCTCGGTTATCTCATCTACTCTCACTAACGTGAAAGAAAAATTTAAGGTCCAGATCCTCAAAAGAACATCTTCCACATTGCAGAGGAAACTGTTTTATTTTATTTTAAATGTATCAGAAGATATGATCTTTCATACTTGATCCACACAGAAACCCTATATAATATGCATGTCTCTGGTATCAGCTCATACTCCTTAAAATTGGTGTGTTGGTAATGTACTGGGGGGGAGGGGCAGGGGAAGGGATGGTTGAATAACAGTTGGTTAATGGGTACAGCAAAACTGAAGGATTGGTAAAAGAAACAATTCTTCTAAAAGGCTCAGTTTATAAATACTTTTTAAAAGGTAATGGAGGCAATGCCAGGGTTTCTTAAAAATAAAAACTTAATTTACCAAAACTGTGATGAACAAAAGCATGGAAGTTAGCAAAATGAGGAACCAAGGACCAAGAAGAAGCATAATAAAAAAAGCATGAGTCTTGGGCCAGCCGAGTGGCTCAGATGGTTAGAGCGTGAGCTCTGAGCTACAGGGTCGCGGGTTCGATTCCCACATGGGCCAGTGAGCTGCGCCTGAGCTAAGCTGCCACTGAGCTGCGAACAGGCGGCAGGATGGCTCAGCTGGTGAGAGCATGTGCTCCTAACAAGGTTGCCAGTTCGACTCCTGCTATGGGATGGTGAGTGGACTTGGAGCTGAGCTAACTGCACCCTCCACAACTAAGACTGAAGGAAAAAAACTTGGCTGTTCCCCTCCCCCAATCCCCCCATTAAAAAAAAAAAAAAAGTCTTACAACTGAATTGGAACCTGAACAAAATAAGAAGTGACAGCCCCTGTAAGAGGCTGTTCTAGGTAGGTCCTTGCTTATATAATACTGGAAGTGCACTTAGGCTTACAGGGCACACAAGCAGGGGAAAGAAATCCTGAAAATGGGGAGAGGAGTAAGGGGCACCTGAACAGAGTAGATGGACATGGGTTTGCTTGTCCTTCTGGTCCAGGGAGGGACAAAAACCTGCCCGCTGCCCTCTTTGATTATCCCTTTGGCCATCCTGCTAAGGACAAAGCCTGTTCTACTGACAGAAGGCTCTGCAGGCAGGAGCAGTTGATGTGTGAAAGGAATGGAAAAATGGGGAGAATAGTGCTTTAGTAGAGGTTCAGGGATGCCTTAGTCAGTCACAGAGATTTCATGTTGCTTCTTTTTTTTTTTTTTTTTTTGGTTTATTTTTAGTTTCATGTGTACAGAACAATGCAATAGTTATCCTTTTCACCCTTCACACAAAAACAATCCCCCTCCGCACTCTACTGCCCTCCCACCCCCAATATCATACTTATCTATTACAATTCCATTGACTCCATTCCCAACCTCTATCCACGTCCCGTGACTCTATGTATATATAATTATAGTTGACATACATTATTATTCAACATGTTGCTTCTGAAAAATATAGAGGTGATGTTGAAGGAGGAAAAATATCTGAGCAAAACATACTAACACTTTTTTTTTCCTTTGAGGAAGTAAACACGCATTTTTGAATGAATGTCAGTAGAAATGGGAAATGATTGTATTTTGGGGTATAATTTTAGAACGGCAAGACATTTAGTTGGACTCCATGTCAATACCATTCCAAACAAGGAAAGGAAAGGAAGACTCTTTGCCCACTGAAATGAATGTGAGGTGCTCTGTACCTGCCAGTACAGGGTCACAAGAGCAAAGGGACTACGCAGCAGAGGACCACACCGCTGGAAGGGGGTCCTCCCACCTCTCCTGAGCTCCAGGGCCATGTGTTGGTCCCGCTCTTATTCTTGGTCTCAAGTTAATTAGAGTTTGAGTCTGGTGCCCCACATGTAAATTAAATCACAGGGCTCAAGGCACATATGTTCGTCCAAGGCTGCTTACACATCTTTAAAAGAGCTAAATGGAACAGGCACTGCCATTTTAATTTTCTAATATTTGTTTTTAAAAACCTTTTTCCTTAAACCACATGGCTCAGTTTCTAAATAGCTGGGATTGGCATTGCTGGCAACATCCTCTGATTCTAATGAGCATCTTTTGTCAGAGTCATTGATCACCGTTTTTTTTTTTTTTTTAATTCCATTGGTGTTTTTTAAGCACAGCCAGATCACAGAGTCACTCCTGAGGATTAAAGGAAACCACCAGAATACTCTTGAGAAACAACTAATGCTGACAATTTTTTTTTTTTTTACTCGCAGTTAAACTAGAGAAATCTTGATGTTGAGTAACGATGCAGAACTACAGCATATCATCATTATACTAAAATGCCAACAGTCCAAGTGTTTATAAAGTGTTTCGTGACCAAAATAAAATAAAGAGAAATTCCAGAAGGTAGAAAGAATTTGTGATCATGCTGTACTCTTCAAAATGTTTAGAAAATTCTATTTAGACTACAGAAAAGTCCCACCCAAAGTATTCTAGATACATAATGAAAACTAGTTCTTTCATAACGGATATAAATGTGACGCCTATAGAGTACTTGAAAAATCTTTTCCTATCTACTTTGCTGTAGAAGGTTTCATTTGATGGCTACATTTGGCTAGTAAAGCAAGTAACATGAATTTTAAAAGTAAGTATAAACAATTTGGCAACAATTCCATAAGGTAATCAAACTTGCTTTTCCCAGATGTTGAACTAGCCTATGAAGCACAAAGTGAATTATTATATATTTTTTTAAATTGGAGAACACTGTGTTTTTTCCAGGACCCATCAGCTCCAAGTCAAGTAGTAGTTGTTTCAATTTAGTTGTCGAGGGCGCAGCTCAGTGGCCCATGTGGGGATCAAACCGGCAACCTTGGTGTTATGAGTCCGTGCACTTACCACCTGAGCTAACTGGCTGCCCCCACAAAATGAATTTTTAAGCCAACAGCTTCTCATTCCTGGTCACTTACATCCACACCTCCGGGAAGATTACGGAAGTAAGGGAAGAAGGCCCTGGACTAAAATAGGGGATCAACAACTGTAAACGTCCTTCCATCCCCCCTCCAACTTAATGAGAAAATTAGTGCTAAATAAATCTAGATACTTAGAATGGGATAACGCAAGAGGATGGAATTGAGCCAACCGAGTAGGTTTGCTGAATGAATTATTAATGACTGAGTAAATTACAACCTACATCATTACATCATGGGAAAATGAAATGTTCAGTAATAATTACAGCACGTTCATATATTTTCTCTCATGCACTCCCTATAACAGCCCCATGAACTAGCAAGATAAATATTATCAGTCCATTTTGTAGATGTGAATTTGAAGGCAGACACATCACAAAGTTAGCAGAGACAGAGGAAAGACTAAAACCAGGGTTCTCCTGGGCAGGAGGCTAGGAGATTTACGTCACATTCTTTTCTGATACACACAATGCTTCTTCATAATTGGATTTTAGAACACCAGGTGTCTGAGGTGAAGGTGATTATCCTTTGGGATCACATGGATAATGAATTTTCCATAAAATTCTTTAGGAAACTCCATCTCTTATCCCATGGTATTTTAACTATATAACTGTCTGTCTCCCTCACTAAACTCTGAGCTCCCCAAGGGCAGGCACTACATCTGTCCCATTAGCTTTTGCACCTTATAACACAGCACAGTGCCTAGCACTCAGTAAATATTGGTGGCATCTTTTCCCACTTGACATGCAAGAAGAGTTCCCAAGTATAAGATGCTCAAGGGGTGAAGGCAGGGTTCCTATAAGGACCTCAGATGCCAAATTAGCATGATCTCCTTTCTCAGAGATTTTAGGGAAGGAAGATTTTAGGTGATGGTTTGCAGAGGTGAGGCAGGGGAAAGGGGCACAAAATATTACATCTTATTGTAAAGCCTCTGAACTCATGATAAGTGATTTTCCACATCTACTTTATATTACAAGAAAGCACACTGCTCCAGAGTACAAATAAGTGTTTAATTCAACACTTACAGACTCATTAAGGTATGGTGTATGAATTACATCATTTGAAACAATTCAACTGTAATTCTTTCACTCCCTCCTACATCTTCTGCTTTCCCCTTTGTTTGGTGACTTTCTTTAGCAGCTGACAAACCCAAGCTCATGGCTTCTAGTCAGCAAACTCTGACAGTGCTGGGAAAAAAATCCCCGTGTTTCAAAGAATCATCATCAACAGATGCTCTAAGCCACTTCCCTAAACTCATTCAGGACTGGTTTTGCAATACAATATTAGAATAACACAATAACTCATTCAGAGTGAGTATATAATTAAGTTTTCAGGCGTGAGAAGTATCAAATACCTCAACTTTGGAAAACTACAGTAGTTAAAGGACATTTTAGATGAAGAATCATTGTGCAATTGAAAAGCACAGGTGTCAGTCACAGACAGCTTGGGTTCCTACCCCAGCTCTCAGAGCCTCCTTTCTCAATGATAAGGATAATTGTATTTGTCCTGGAAATTTGGCTCTTGAGGGGCAGGAGCTGGGGGAGGAGCTCTGATTTGTATCATCTGCCCATTTCTGGAATGTAAATGCTCCCATCCTGGCTGATTTCAAGCGATCAACATGGAGTCACTAAACACAGAGTGGGGAGATAGTTTGAGAGCCAGCATGAGCTGGCTCCAGCACGCCACAAATTATGCTGCAGTAAGTATATCATACTGTGGGGCTATTGGGAACTGAACGTGTATTCCACTTACTAAAGATTTTAAGTAAGCTGACATAGAAGTAGACTGCACAGTGTTTGGCTTGGAGAATGCCTTTTTCTTCTTCCTGCTTCCATTCCTTCCTGGACCATAACGCCTATCTTTGACATTTCATTAAAACTCTTGATTTAAAGTAACTTCTCCATACTTTTCACTTCCAAGTTCATCTCGAGCCCTGACTTCTGTGCTGAACTCCGAACCCATATTCCAAACTGCCTATGGCACACTTCAACCTGGGCGGTCTAAACGGAAACATACCTTTCTTCCTCTTACTTTCCTTATCTTGGTTGGCAATGACAACGACAACAGCAACAATCACATTTAGAGAGTCCTTACTATGTGCCTGCACTGTTCCAAGCCTTTGTATGTAGTATTTTAATTCTCACCAAGTGACGTATGTGTTAAGATCATCCCCACATTACAGATGAAGAAACTGAGCACAGAGAGGTTAAATTAATTTCCCTAAACCATACTGCTAACAAACAGCAGGCTGGGGTTCAAATTGAGACAATCAGGCTTTTGAGCTATGTTCTTAACTCTCAGGTTAACTATTACCTCTATACACTATGAATACGTTAACTAGTATTTCGTAGTTTGCCTCTCTAAAATGTAGTGAACATTATTTGGTGTCACTAGTCTAAGCTCTTTTGTGTATTAATTCATTTAATCCTCACCACCCCCTATTAGGTACGTTCTTTTTATCCCCATTTATGGAGGAAACTGAGGCACTGAAAGGTTAAGTGACTTACCCAAGATTGCACCGATAAGAGATAAGAAAGTCGCAGTGTTGGGGCTGGAACCCAGGGCAGTCTTAACCACAGCCTTAACCATCATTTACTCTACCACCTTTCATCACTACTGTATTCAAGTCAAACCGCTAGATGCTGGATTTGGTCACCAAGCCCTGCCCTCTTCCTCCTAAATAGCTTATAAATCTGCTATTTCCTCTCTACTGCATCACATCACTCTTACTTCTGGCTCATGTGGACTACTGCAATAGAAAGCAGTTTCCTGCTTCCCAGGAGACATTTCCAATAGATCCCATGTAATGCCCCCAGACACTCTGGAGATAAATATCTTAGGAAGTCACTACACTACACTGTTCGGTGTTTCCCCGTCACCCGTGTAGCAATGGTTCTCAAAACTCACTGCGCAGAAACTTCATTGGAGCTTACAGAATGCAGATTCCGGGCCCTTCCTCAGAGATTCTGATTCTGTAAATGCAGTTCGGAATCCAGGAATTCTTATTTTTATCAAGCACTCCAAGGAATACAAATGGTTTATGGACCACACTTTGAGAAACACAGGGATACAGAACACACTCCCAGGTCTTTATCAAGGAAACATAAACTTTTCTCTGCTTCTATCTCACTGTATCTGATGCTCTAGATCAACGGTTCTCAACCTGTAGGTTGCGACCCCTTTGGGGGTCGAATGACCCTTTCACAGGGGTTGCCTAAGTCCATTGGAAAACAAAAAGATATTTACATTACGATTCATAACAGTAGCAAAATTACAGTTATAGAGTAGCAACAAAAATAATTTTATGGTTGGGAGTCACCACAACATGAGGAACTGTATTAAGGGGTCATGGCATTAAGAAGGTTGAGAACCACTGCATTAGAGTTAGTTGGTCATACATCTGTCACCTCAAACTGTAAGCTCCTTGAGGGAGGAGATCTCATTTCTTTCCTCTCTAAACACTCCTGAAAGAGATGTCTCTTGCCTCAGGTGAGAATCACAGGTGGTCATGACGATTATTGATAATAATAACAATAGTAAAACAATAGCTATCATTAATTGAGCACTTACTATACATAGGCAAGTGGCAGCCATTTATTTTACAAAAATTCTCTCGCATTCCACCCCACAGCAACCTTAAGAGTTAGGTAATATTTCATTCCCTTTATTTTACAGAGGAAGAAACCAGATTAAGAAAGGGTAAGCCAGTTGCCCAGCTGGCAAAGAGGATCAGGATTTAGACCTAGATCTGTGCCTTCCTCCTCTGGGCACACTGCCTGGGGAAAGAAACTAGGGTCCCTTGGCTGGCGGAGGGGAGATTTGAATTCAAGACTGAGTTTGTTCTTAATACAGGAGATCAATGGGCAGCAGGGAGTTAAATTTTTCTAGAAGGAAAGGTAGTACGGAAAATCTAACAGCCTTAAATCCATGAGCAAAAACGACATTTTTCACTTATTTAGCTCCTCCTATATGCCAGGCATGAAGCTTGGAACTTAGAACAGTTCTCAGTAGCAGATAACTTTGTATTTTCATTTGATGGACAGGGAAACTGAAGCTCAGGGAAGCTGAGAGACCTGCCCAAGTTTCAAATAAGTGGCAGAACCGGAGTGGCAGACCTGGGAGACTCCCAATCCTGCGCCTGCACCAGCTCGTCCACTCTGCTTTGGCGGATCAACAAGTTCTGTACCCACCCTGCACAAATGGCCAGTAAATGTACCAGGCCTCCATGCTCTGAGCAGACAACGTATATATAACATCACGGTCTTTACCAAGATTCAGCCTAAAGTGTTAACATAGGGCAGTATTTGCTCAAGAATGTTCCAAAGAGTCTTATTTTCTCAAGATGTTCCATGGAAAAAGTTCTATGGTCAGAAAAGTTTGGAAGTGCTGCCTGGTATGCCTCCCCTGTCTTGGAGACTTAAAGCGCACCATCAGCAGATGCTAAAGCTTCTGCAGTTAAAAAAAAAAAAAATCTGTTTACTTAAGCTAAGGTTTCCCCAATCTATTTGAACCTATTAGAGCTGTTTTTCTACACTTGCCAGTGAATACACATGCAGCGCTTTTAGAAATACTGGGATGCAGGATTGAAGAGGCAGAAAAAGCAGCAGCTGGAGCTACTTTGGGATATAGTAACTAAAATGCAGACTTTCTTTCTTTAGAATTATCAGATTGTTTGTTGTTTATATTTAGTTTGCTTTCTATTGAGAAAATAAACAAATAAAAATACATTAGTCTCAATCAACTTTTGTTTTGATATTTTAAAAAAATCAGAGGCAACAAATCAGAAAAGGGGAGGGAAGGGCTATTTGCATACCCAAATCTCTTGTCTCATCCTGCACCTTCTTGCTTCTGCCCCAACCCCATTCCATTCTCCAGGTTTCCACCCACCCTCCCCTCTTTGGGGCTGCTCTCCAGCTACACACACTGGAAGTGACCACAACTTGCAATGCACCATGTCCCCCACGCCCACCACGTACAGGAACACAGAAGTAGTGACAGACCCTCTGCCCACAGCACAGCCTGACAGCCTGCCCACAGCACAGAGAAACACACGAAGTTATCTGATATAATGATCTCTCTGCCTTTTGGGTTAGGCAGGGGTACTCTAAAGACATTCCTATGGGGGTAAAAGACTGCCAACATTTCCTTCACATTTTCCAGATTATGAGTGCTTTTTGTTCTAATTCTTTTTTCTTTCTTTCTTATTTTCGTTTCAAATTTTCTGCAATGAATATGCAGCATTAAAAAAAGAGGAGTAAGGGGGAGGGGGGAGATGGGGGGAGGGGCGGGGACAAGGAGGAAAAAGCAATCAATATCTCCAGAGAAAGAGACTGCATCAGCTCACCTAGTAAAATACACCGGTATCTCCCAACACCTCCCTCCAGGTAGAAGTTCTGAGCTGCAGTGAGTGCCTGTCTTTGCAACAACACTCTCCCAAGCTACCCCTTAACCAAAGCAACGTTCAGCGTGCGGGCGCAGCGCCGCCTTCTCCTTACCCACTCGAAAGATCAGATCGTCTTCGATGGGGTTCTCTTTTCGTTTCCCAGTGCTGTACATGCTTGCGGGCCTTTTCACAGCTTTCTGCTTCACGTGACCGCTCCCCGGGGATTTCACGCGCCTCTTCACACCCTCGGTGGTGGGCGACACATCCGCTGACCGGATCACTTTCAGCTTGAACGGGCTGCCTCGGATGTGCTGGTCGTAGAGTCTGAGAGAGAGGGTGAAGTCCCCTTCCTTCTGGACAGTGTACAAAAACTCATAGGTGCCGTTTTTGTTGTCGAGGATTTCTCCGTCGGCCACGCTGCCGTCGGGGGTGCTCAGCTCCGCAGTGATGTAGGCATTACCAGTTTTACAAAGCTCCCCGTCTTTGTCCTTGGTTGTGATGGTCACGGACATGGGCTGCCCGATTATGGTCTGCCGCAGCCCCTCTCCCGTGGCCACCGTCTCGGAGGCCACCGCGTTGGTGGTTAAGATCGTGCCAAGGTTGTGGATGGACTTCTTGAGCCCGTCGGTCTCCACGATGAAATCCAGCTGGTCGTTTTCCCGCGGGTGCAGTGGGAAGTCCTGGTCGGCCAGTTCGTTCAGCTTTTCGCTCATCTGCTTCTTCACCAGCAGCACCTCCGTTTCGGTGCCATGGTTGAGGGCCTGCGCGGTGAAGTTGCTGCAGCTCTTAATGCTCTCCTGCCCCTCGAGCAGTGTGTCCAGCTGCGTCTGGAGGACCTGTGGGCAAAAGCGAGCCGGGTGAGTGCTTCCTGCAGCTCAGGAGCTCAGTCACAAGAATGCAGCGGCACGCTGGGACCAGTGCTCTCCGTGGGCCAGTACCGCTTTGCACCTGCCCACACAGATGGCTCTCAGCAAGGGATGTTTACTTTCACCCGGTGAATCCGGTTCTAACACATCATCATCCTACACTGCGTTCCCAGTACCTTCTCTTTCCCTTTCGCCTCGCCCTGTTTCTCCCACACACATATTTCCCGGGTCATGTGTTTGTGACAGGACCCAGCACAAATGTCGCCACCAAGACGTTGGCAAACAGATTGCTATGCCTGACTTCTGAACTATTCATTATTCAGACTCTTTCCTCAATGTCCAAAGCTTCCCTGCCACCACCGAAAGGAACAGAAACCAGGCAAATGAAAAGTCTCCACACCTGAATCTCAGAAGCTTTTCATCTCAGGTTTTGTGATCAGACATGCAGAGTTACACAAAGCCTGCAGTCAGGGTTACTTTGAAGCAGAATAACAGGTTAGTGTGGGCGAGAGAGCAATTAAAAGGCTATTAGACATTGTAATTCAGGAAGGAAAACAATCCACTTTAACCTTAAATCTGGAAAGCATTCCTTTACATGCAACCTCGCCTTGTGTCAAATTATAAATTAGGACTGAATGTCACAGAGTCAAGACTTTAGCTGAAAACAGGAAGGAAAAAAATAAAACAGATGGAAAGGCCATTAAACGACAACTACTGTTTACTGTGCAACTGTACACGTAAGGACCCAAATGGTCCTTTGCTGCTATTAGAACGCAGTAAGCTAGTGCCAAGAAGTGCCCCAGACATCATGTCTCTTCCAGGATGTCTGTAAGAACAGCTGGAGTCTTACTTTGTGTTTGAGGCCATAGTTGACCTCCAGTTCCATGAGCAGCACGCTCTTGCGCACATTTAAAGTCTTCTGGAGCTCATCAAAGGTAGAATGGATGTCATCCACAATGCTGGCCTTTTGGTTGGTTAGCTGGTGAATGATTTCTGAGATGAACTGAAGAGCAGAATCTATTTCTGGAAGCCTGGAAAACAGTTGTGATAGATCATTATTATTTAACATCAACCTAGAAAGAGTAAAACAATCTGCGTATCTAAATACTGTAGTGTGTCGAAAAAAGACACATTTTCTGTGCCTCTCATCGTCTTTAAAAAGTAATAACTGAACAATGAAATGAATAAGACATAATTACAGCCTTTGAGGGAAGAGACTTGGAGAGCCCATGTCTATTTCAATCTACCCTAGTCATCTAATTTCAAAATGGATGGTACAAAGCCTTGAAGCTCTCCAAACCCCACGGCTTTTCCTCACGTTGTAAACCAGGCTCTCTCAAATGTGACACTATTGGTATTTTGATGCAGATAATTCTTTGTTGCAGGGGACTGTGCTGTCTATTACAGGAGGTTTAACAGCATCCTGTCTTCTACCAGATGCCAATAGCACCCCCCTACACACACACACACACACACACACACACACACACAATTGTGACACTAATTAGGCATTGCCAAATGTCCCCTGGAGGGCTGGGGGTGGGGGGGTATATAATCACCCATGCTGAGAACCACTGTTCTAAATATACAGCCATATCTTTTTTCCCCAATCACATGAAAAACTTATCTAAACTTAAGAGTTTCCTGGGAACTCCTTGCAAGTTCCCAAATTCTTTTAATGACTATTGAATAACCACACTTTTATCATTACAACTGTTGGTGAAGAGATTTCTTTTCAGCTGGCTATTTGTTTCCTCTCTCTGGTCTTTCTCATGCATCACACAGTACTCTGTTCCTTTATTTTCATGCCAAAAAAAGAGCCTGGAAGCAGTGAAACATAAGGAAAATTGAGCAATCTCTGCGTGGTACCATTCTGCTGGGCTCAAGGAGAGAGGAGTCAGTCCCAGTGGACAACAGGCCCCTAAGTATGTCAAGAAGAACAGCTAAAAAAGGCTCCTCAGAGAGGCTGGTTTCAGGCACAAATTTCAGAGAGCTCCTGAGATTATTTTCCTCGAATATATTTTATTCATTAATCATACTAAGGTCCCAAAATAAAATTGCCACCACTCATAACATAAGGGCAATTTTACCAAGGGGCCAGGGATGCCCCCTCATCACTCACTAGCTTATGACTGCAGGCCCACGATCAAAGGAGAATTTATTTAGGTGACAGGAACCCACCGTCCCACTGAAACAAGAGACGCTGAGTCCAAGCCTCAAGCACAGGTGCCCAGCTGGGAGCGTGAGGGAGGTGTGCGCACCTTTTGTTGACAGCGTCCAGCTGGACCTGGAGCGAAGCCTTGTGCTGCTCCACCACGTCCTTGAGGGGCACTGTGGGGTGTTCTGCATGCTCCCCCTCCGTGCACTCCCGACACATGGCGGTCTCACAAGACTGGCAGTAAAAGTCCATCACCTGTGGGTAACACAAGAACAATTCCAGGATTGGTGTCACTGACTGAATGCTTACCATGCCCCAGGCCCTTACTGGCAATCTCTCATTTAATTCTCACAGCCTCCCCAGGATGTCAGAAATATTATGTCCAGTTTCACAGAAGAAAAGGAAAGATAAACATTTCTGTGCCAGACCTCAAACAGAGATAGACTGGACTCCAAAGCTGTGACTAGGGCCACAAAACAAGCTTTTCTTTGGCTGCTCCACTACAGTGCAGGGCTGTGGTGGTGCTCCAACATTTTGGTCTCAGGACCCCTTGATGGTCTTTAGAAATTATTGAGAACTGCAAAGTGCTTTGGTTTATGTGAGTTAGATCTATAGATATTTATCATTTTTAAAATTGAAACGGAGAAAAAATTTAAATATTTATTAATGTATTAAAAGCAACAATAAGTCCATTAAACGTTAACGTGAATAATATAATTTATGAAAACTGTATTTTGCAAAATAAAATATTTTACAAGAATGGCATTGTTTTCCATTTTTTTTAACTCTCTTCAGTGTCTAGCTTAATAGAAGAGAGCTAGATTCTCATATCTGCTTCTGCATTCAATCTGTTTCAACAGCACACATCATATAGTCTCTGGAAAATTCCACTGTACACTACTGAGAAAATGAGAGCAAAAAAGGCAAATAGCGTCTTAGTATTATGATAAATATAGTTGTGACTGTGTGGATCCCCCTGAAAGGGTCTTGGGACCCATGAGGGTTCCTGGACCACACTTTGAGAACAGCTACTGTTTGGATAAGAGATGAACTGGACTGAGCAGTGTGCAGCCTGACTCCACCACTTATGTAACCTCACTGTGTTTCAATTTTTCCTCTGTTAAACGGGACAACAAGAGTAACCTACTTCAGTAGAGCTGCTATGAGGATTCAGTAAAAAAATATGCACAAAGAAGTCAGATGTTGCCTGGCACATAGTAAGCTCTTAATAAGTAGTAATGGTGATGATAATGATATCATCTGCTTACCTGAAAATAAAACCACTTCATCCTGATTATTATGAACTCTCAATAACAATATGACATAAAGCCTGAAAGTTCGTTTCCTTGTGAAGGCACTCCGCTTATTCTCTCACCTGAAAATAACTTCTTCCAATTTTAAATTCTGAAAGCACTTTCAGGAGGTGGGGGGGAATCTGTTTCTTTAAGTATAACACACCTATGAAAAATGGCATACATCCTAACACAGACTGATGGATTTTTCACAAACTGAATGCACCCACCAAAGCACTTTTATTCATACCCCATTTATGAAATATTTATGAGATTTTAAGTTACTGAGCACAGGAACTCTCTCATCCAGAGCTTAGGTAATTCCGTGCACATAGTAGGTATTTAATAACACTGATGAATGAGTGAACTGTAAGCTGTCTATAAGAGACTCACTTTAGATCCAAAGACACAAATAGGTTGAAAGCAAAAGATGGGAAAAGATAGTGTATGCAAATAGTAACCAAAAGAGAGCTGGAGTGCCTGTTCCAATATCAGACGAAACAGACTTTAAGACAAAGGTTGTTATAACAGACAAAGAAGGACATTACATAATAATAAAATGGTTCATCCATCAAGAGCTATACCAATTATAAATACATATGCTCCTAACAACAGACCCCCAAAATATATGAGGCAAACTCTGACAGAATTGAAGGGAGAAACAAACAGTACAACAAAAATAGTTGGAGATTTCAATACTATATTTTCAGTAATGATAAAACAACTAGATGGAAGATCAATAAAGAAATAGAGAACTTGAACAATACTGTAAACTGACTAGACCTAACAGATATATACAGAACATTCTATTCAATAACAGAATATTCATATTTGTCAAGTACACACGGAACATTCTCCAGCATAGGCCATACATTAGTTAACAAAAATCTCAATACATGTAAAAAGATCACAGTCATACCAAGTGTCTTCTATGGCCACATAGAATGAAATTATAAATCAATAACAGAAGGAAATCTGGAAAACTTATGTATATGTGGAAATTAAATAATGTATTCTTAAACATACAATGAACCAAAGAAGAAATCACAAGGCAAATTAGAAAACACTTTGAGATGAATAAAAATAAAAACACAACACACCAAAACATATGAGACAGTGCTCAGAGCAAAATTTATAGCTGTAAATGCTTACATTAAAAAGAAGAAAGATCTCAAATTACTAACCTCAGCTTCCACTTTAAAGAACTAGAGAAAGAAGAACAAACTAAACCCAAAGCAAGCAGAAGAAAGGAAACAAAGATTACAGTAGAGATAAGGAAAATCAAGAATAGGAAAATAGAGATAATCAATGAAACCAAAAGTTGGGTCTTTGTAAATAAAGATCAACAAAATTGACAAACACTATGACAGTTGTATACCAAGAAATTGAATAACCTAGATAAAATGAACAAATTGCTAGAAACATACAAACCACCAAAAGTGACTCAAAGAAGAAATAAAAAATCTGAATAGACCTATCATTAGTACACAGATGAATCAATATTCAAAAAACTTCCAACAAAGAAAAACTCAGGACCAGGTGACTTCACTGGTGAATTCTACCAAGAATTAACAAAAAACTTCCAAAAACTTCAAAAAATTGTGAAGAAAAGGGAACATTTTCTATCTCATTCTATTATGCTAGTAATACCCTGATACCAAAGCCAAAGATATTACAAGAAAAGAAAATAACAGACTAATATCCCTTATGAACATAGATGCAAAAAATACCTTCACAAAATACTAGCAAACTGAATCCAGCTGCATATTAAAAGGGTTATACCTCATGACCAAATGGGATTTATTCCAAAAATGCAAGGGTGGTTCACATACAAAAATCAATATATGTAATACACCACATTAATAGAATAAAGGGGGAAAAAACCCACAGAATCATCTCAATTGCTGCAGAAAAAACATTTGACAATACCCAACACCCTTTCTTTATAAAAACACTTATCAAACTAGAAACAGAAGGAAACTTCATCAACTTTATAAAGGGCATCTACAAAACCCACAGCTGACATACTTAATGGTGATCCCCTAAGATCAGGAACAAGACAAGGATGTCTCTTGCCACTTCTATTCAATAATGTACTGGAAGTTCTAGCCAGGGTATTTAGACAAGAAAAGGAAATAAAATGCATCAAAATTGGAAAGAAAGGAGTAAGAATTTCTCTATTAATAGATGACATGGTCTTACATATAGGAAATACAGAGAGAGGGGGTGGGAATTAGAACTAACAAATGAATTCAGCAAAGCTGTAAGATACAAGATCTACTTCACACCAACTAGGATGGCTGCACTCAAAAAGTCAGATAATAACAAGTATTAGCGAAAATGTGGAAAAATAGGAACTCTCATATTTTGCTGGTGGAAATGTGAAGTGTAGCAGCTGCTATGAAAACAGTTGATGGTTCCTCAAAAGTTAAACACAGAATTACCATATCACCTATGAATTCCACTCCTAGGTATATACCTAAGAGAACTGAAAACATGTCCACACAAAACCTTGTTCATGAATGTTTGTAACAGCCATATTCATAATAGCCAAACTGTGGAAATAACCCAAATGTCCATCAACTGATGAATGGATAAACAAATTGTGGGATATCCAGACAATGGAATATTATTTAGCCATAAAAAAAATGAAGTTCTGATATAGGCTATAATAGAGATGAACCTTAACAACATTATGATAAAGACTAGAAGCCAAACTTAAAAGGCCACATAGTCAAGATTCCATGTATATCAAATGTCCATGTGGATGAATCCGTAGAGACAGAATGCAAATTCGTGGCTGTTAGAGGTTAGAGGTTAGGGATGGGGGTGGGGTGGGGCGGGGTAGGGAATGAGTGGCTGTTTAATGGACAGAAGAGTTTCTTTTTGGGATAGTTAAAACGTCCTGGAATTAGATAGTGGTGATATTTGCACAACCTTCTGAATATACTAAAAGCCACTGAATTCAACACTTTAAAATGGTTAAAATGTTGGATTTTGTGTTATGTGAATTTTACTTCAATTAAAAGTAAAAGTTGGGGCCAGCCGAGTGGCTCAGTTGGTTAAGAGCTTGTCAAGAGTGCGAGCTCTGAGCAACAGCGGTATGATGCCCAGCCTGAGCCGAGCAGCCGCTGAGCTGCCAATAGGCAGCAGGATGGCTCAGCTAAAAAAAAAAAAAAGTAAAAGTTGATTGCAACTTTGAGGAGACAGCAGCAGACCTGGGTCGTTGTCTCTGGTTGAGGATCCTAAGTGCTTCTTGGGAAGCAAAGGCCATGAAATCATTTTGAAGTGTCAACAACTACTCATTCTCAGATGCTTATGCTTGGGTTCTTGACTCCAGCTGAAAGTTAATTGTGTGAGGTGTGAGACAGCGGAGCTCATCCGTCCTGAACTGAGATGATGCTGGTGCTCCCAGGAGTGGGTGGGCCAGGGACCAGGATGAGCTTATTGTTGTTGACAGGTAGTCACCATTTGTGTTCATTAGAAGAGAAGATGGCCAGGACCACATGCATTACTAACTGCTAAAAAGGATGGTCAGGCAACCCTGAGGCTTCTGGAAGTGGGGACTTTTTACCAGCAGGGCATTCTTAATGAGGATTTCTCTTTTGCACCTCCTCTTAACATCCTCATTAGTAAGGCCTAAGCAAGCAACAAGAGGGTGGGGGTGGGGGATGGGGAGGAGTTGTTTAATGATCATTCCTGTTCTGGGACTGCAGAGGCATGAGTTCAAATGTATGCTTTAAGTGCAAAGAACCTCTTAAATCACTGACCGCTATTCCAGTTTTTCTTTGTATTTGGACAATGCAGCCATGGCAGTTTAATTAGAAGACAGATTGTGTCACAGCACTTAAAGTAAATGACAGGCTTTCATCCACATGTGCTAATCAGCACCAGGCAGTTTATCACAACAACATCCTGCTTTATTGTTAATTACCAGATTTTATTAACCTTCAGATGCTTGAG